CTGATACAGGGTAGACTGATGTAGACACATCAGTGTCAAAGAGTAAGTCCAGAAAACTAGCTTGTAGTCCAGAATATATACCTGAGACACTTGGGATGGAAAATTTTGTTCTAAAAGATAGATTTGACATTATAAGCATCAAGAGACGATTAAAGCTCAGAAAATCAAAACTAGGTAAGTTGAATATTTTTTTTTTAATATTCATTTTAAAACATTCATTTTAAAAAACGTCATTGGCCTGTCCATCAAAATATCAATAATGTGTATTTATATTAAAAGGAATGTAAAGTACTCTTTTCTTACTCCTAAGTAAGAAAAGTAAACAAACTATAAATAGCATTATAGGCTCTTTCAACCCTCTTCAGCACTGAGAATTAGAGTGAGCTGAGTAATTTTTGATGGGGAAAAAATAAGCATGGAATGCCAGTTTGTCAAACTCAGATTTCTGAAGGGAATCAATTCATTTTCAATGAAATACAGCCACGGAACTCCTGTGAAAACCTGCGTGCCCTCTGCGGGCTCATCTGGTGGTTGTTTAGGGTTCCTTACCATATAGCCTGCTTAGGGCAAGAGGCTCCAAGTCTGTAGAGCTTCTTGGGACGTATGTTATACCATTCAAATTACTGTTTAACAAAAACTCTGTATTAAAGATTGTTTTTTTCAAGGTCCTTTTTGTTTTATCTCTCTGAAATAGTTACAAATTATGTTCAGGATGTAAAACTGTATGTTAAGAGGCAAGAATTTGTTATACTTCAGAAGTTTATCTTGAGAAACTGGTAGATACAACACAGTGGTATCAAATTACAGATATGAAATTAAAAATATCTGTAAAGAAAAATATTATAATCACATTACAAAATTAAAGAGGACTTAATATACTCCAGTAATATTACATAGGCAAATAATATAAAAATTAAATTCTCTACCTATTTCCTATCTAGGCAACTCTGCTAATTTTTTTAGCAAACTGAAAGCATCACAAGCAAGGTGTATTAGACATGGGTAAAAGACTTCACTAACAAACAGTGAAAGTTTAAAGATGTTGTTCTGAAAATACCAGAAAACTGATTCTAAATTTTTCTGTGCTAGTAATGTTCTGTATGCCATTTGGTGTGGACCTGTGAGCCTGTTAGCAACTTCCTTCTCACACAGTTTAACTCAAAGCAGTCCTTAGGAAATATTGCAAGAAAAATAAGCAGCATGCCCTCAGAAGGGTTTTTCTAACCTCAGTTTCTTACTCCCTCCCCCGATTGTTTTGGTTCTGGGTTTGTTTTTTAAGCACTAAGCAATGCACATAAATTTAAGTAAGCTGGAACTATAATCATGTCATAACAAATTTATATAAAGCCATGTAAAAGAGACAGTATTAAATTTAATTAGAAATAAATTGTTTTTTCTCCATTACAAGACATAGTGTTACTGGATAAAACCCTAATATGCAACTGTCCTTATGACCCCATGTGTCTCATCAAGCTTTATCTTTTAGCCATTTTTTATAAATGTTCTTAAACCCTTAGATAATCATTTTACTAAGTCATTGCAATGGCATACAACTTCGTCATCTGGATCAGCAATTTCCAATCCATAGTCACATTTGTTACTTACGTTCACTAGATTTATCTGAACACACTTCTTGCTAATAACCTGTTAAAAAGGAACCATAAAACCCAGTTCCAAAATCTATTTAACCTCATGACCTTTTTTTTTCCCAAAACCAGCCAACATGAATGCCTACAGATGAATAGAAAAGCAGAGGAAGTGATGGAGGGATACCTCCCTGGTAGACTCCTCCAGATTCCAGTGAAATGTAACATGAGTTACAAGTAGCTTTATTGTTCTAAAATAAAAGCCCTTTTGTGATTAAAGCTGTAGGAAACTGAGCCTAGATATTGTTTTCTTGTTGGCTCAAATATCCATAACAAAAATCTTGCAAATAACTTAAGTCGGATTAAGTTCCTCTCTCGGCTCTCCTTCATGACCTCCATCCAGCCTCTTGCTCCTTCACCTTCATGCAATCTGCTGCAGCAATTGTACCAATAAAATCACAGAAAAAAATCTGAATTAAGGAAGCACTTTCTAAATTATTTTCAACCAGGCTTTTGCCCTACAGCATTGGGTGTACAGCGCTGTCAATCACACTCCTCCAGTACGGCTCTGATGCTAAGCCCTGGGATAGGGATGAACACGGGTGGAAGGCTGGGGAATGGGGAGAGTTTAATCTGATCTGGCTACTGAGACAAACATGATTTGTAACTCCACTATAAAGAGAATAATCTTTAGCATGAAGAGGGATTTAATATAATGAGGGTCCAGCTTTCAAATGTTACATTATACGAAATGTTATCATTAAAATTTTCCAAATAATTGACACTCATTTCTCCAACACTGATCTATTTGTCCACAACAAAGGGAAAATTCAGTCCCTGCCACTGTTAATCCAAATCACACATAAAGAAATTAAGTAGGAAAACAGGATGAGTTAACTTAATGCAGTCAGTCAGCTTGCTCTCAGATTTTAATAGCCAGAAGTGAAATACATGAATAGCATACTACCTTTACAAAAAAGTATTTCCAAATAGCTGGCATGTATTTGCTACATCTTCCCCATTTAATAATCACTATATTTGAATAATTTTATTGATGTGTTTCTCAAGCTTGCTTGGAAGAACATTTCAGAGATATTTTTAGAGCGCATACTGCATTCAGTGTGGAATTTCTGCTGTTCGAAAAGGCAGTTAGATGGATCTAACATGACAAACTGTCTTGCTGCTACTCACCTAGTTATTATTCAAGTCCCTAAAGTTAGTTACAAGGATTTTCTAGTACTTTTTATTAAGCTGCTGCCCTACCTTTTCCTCTGTTTATAAAGACATAAAACTGAAAAACACTATTCATTTCTGAGCAATAACCACTCATGACTCCACAGCTGCTCCAGCATCTTCTCTAAGCACTTCATGGTGAATTTCTTAGCAGGCTGATTTGAAAACTCTAGCTTCTTTCAACATGCTACTTGTGACAAAGATCTCCTGATAATCTCATTTTCAGAAACACTACCCCCTAGGCCTCATAAGACAACATATCAACATGTATGACATGTACAAACAAAACCAGTAAGACTCAGGCATCAGTAGGTTTATAATTAAAAAACACAGTTTAAGGTCTGAAGTGCTTTCTACTCAAGGACACAGAATTTGGTGGGAAGGAGCGGAAGTAGAACAGGGAAGGGGGAAATAAAACCTGAAAGGGCAGCAAGTCCTTAGTTGTAAATTTGAGTAACTCCTTCCCACATATAACACAGAAGTAATACCTTGAGGAAAAGACAGCACAGAACATCATGACTGTCTGCAAACGAGCCTGCTTCACAAATGGCCAGATCTATCCGAGTCCCTTGTAAAGACCCATTAACTGCTACCATTAATTTTCTTAGCTAGTTAAAATACTGCGATTCAGCAGTGGTTGAAATGTAATGACACATTTTATAGAAATAACTACCATGTTTTACTTTGCAAAAGGAAGAAGAGGCAAACATCATGCTACTTCCCTGATCGAGAAAAATAAGTTATTTGTCCATTTATTGTCCCTTCTGCTCAAAGAGGTTGAGAAGAAAAAAGGAGAAGCACGAGACAGGAGATAAAGTACAGCTTAACACAGGGGGAAAAAGTGCAAATTCCTTTGTTTCATTAAAACATTATACCCAGCCTCCCCCAACCCCCACTGCCACCCTCACCGAAGTTACAAAAGCAGTGGATGATTTTCTGTACAGCCCCAACCTACTTTATTTCAGAATGTGGAGTGCAGGCAGTATTTTGAAACACAAAATAACAGAAGAGTATTCACAGGTTTAAGATGCAAGCATGTATTGCAAATCCCTACAGTGAAGGGATGTGAAACGCATTAGGAAAAGATGACAGTATATTACTGTAGTCCATCAATAAGCCACTGACTAATAAAACAATCCCAACAGGGGTTTCATCCCTTATTTACTTCCTCATTCTTCCCAAAACATCAAGCAAAGAGCAATTTATTATTGCTCTCTTATATTCCTGAGGCTGCCATTTGGCAAAAATGCAGAGTTCACCTTTGCTGTGCAATACCTTTGTGGTCTCTGTATCACACTAGAAAATTCTTCCACTTGTCCACTTTTATTTACATAGAAGTAACAAAATACATTAAGTTTGAATAATAATCTTTATTTATTAGTTTATTTGTAAAAGGTACATTGTAATCCTGAGCTACTGCTTTTATACATTTAGCATCATACAAAGACAGGTCATTTACAGTTTGATCATTTACATTTATTGTGCTCCAAAATCCTTATCCGAATATCATTTCGACTTAGCAGGAACATAGATAATTTAAATTACATGTATCCCTGAAACATCCATATTAATTTACCCATCTGACCCCATTATCTAAATTACTACAGTTGTCTAAATCACTCAGGACATTCCTTCTGAATTTAGCAAAAACTTGTTTAAAACTATAAAGATGGGCAGTGCAAGAACTGGTCCCTCAATCCTTTGTGAATACATCATTAGAAAAAACTTCCTGTTTCCGTATTCTCTTGACAAGTCAGTGCTAAATTGACTAGATGTACTGGATGGAATGGTCCAAGTAACAGTTTACTTATTTCCTTATTACAGCAGTTAATGAGAATTTACAGCATCTCCCTTTGCAGTGACCAGTGTCATAAGTCTCCCAAACATGGAAAATGTGACATGATCAGAGAAAGTAAGAGGAAACCCATCACCACCTTATTGTCATCTACATGACACTGAAGTATTACAAACCAATTCATATGAAATGCTTCCCTTAGACCCTGTAAAGGAACTTGTATGAATAACCAGAGTAAAGTTCCATAATCCGAGCATGGCTTTTAGGATTTGCCAATTAAAAAAAACAAACAAACAAAAAAAACAAACAAAAAAAAAACCCACAAAAAACCAAAACAAACAAACAAAAAAAACCAAACAAACAAAAAACCAACCCCAAACAAACACCAAAACCAAAAGCTCAGTCCCAGGATCCTTAAGAAGAAAGCATTTATCCTAACTGAAATCCAATCCTGGATAGATGGAAATTTAATTGGACTACCAAAATAGCATCTCTCTATCTGAAAAATCTCCAAGCATACAGTGTTTACAAATGTCTCTCTAGCAACAGTGTCAGTCTTTTAAAGTACACCCATAACTTTCATTTCCTGAATAAGGTCACTATGATCTTAGGCAAAAGGTACAGTAAGCAGTTCAAGCAAAATGCTTATTGCTTAGATTTTAAAGCAAGCCACTTGAATAATTTTAGTTAAAACGTGAAGTACAAATGTGAAGCTACTGTAGAAACACGTATAAACACTCTTGCTTTTGAACTTATACTGATCATCTGGAAAAATGGCAGACAGATTTTAACATAACAAAGGAAATGTAAAACTTAATACTGACTGTTGAAATAAAATTCAACGCCTATAAAGACAGAGTTATGAACATGTAAACACAGCTTTAGTATTCAGAGCTAGGGAATCTAGCAGCAAAACAAACTATTTGCATATTATGTAGTGCAATGAACATTTGTTCTTAGAGACCCCCAGTCTTTAAACTACTTTGAACAGAATGTAATCCTTACAGGAAAGGTTTTAAAAGTGTCCAAGATGTAACATCCAGAATTACTAGACATTCATCTATAACCTAACAATTTCTCTACGCAAAACTGTGCTCTGGATAACTGACTTTAATGGCTCCCCAGTAGCAGGCTCGAATGAGGCAGATTAAACCTAAGAGATAAGCAACAGCCCAAGAAACATATGTTGCGTGAAATCGCCTGGCGAAATCTTGTGTACCAACCTAAAAAGAGAAAACAGAAGTGTCAAACACACAGCACTATTTGCTCTTCAGAGAAGGGCAAGTTACATTAAGGAGAAGCATTTCCGCACCCTTTCAACTCTGGGAAGGGCAAAGCAGATACTTTATTAGCTTAACTTTACAGAACCATAGAGTAATTGAGTTTGAAGGGGACATCAGGAGACCTCTAGTGCCAACTTCCCAATCAAAGCACGGTCAACTCAAAGGTCAGACCAAGTTGTTCAGGGTTTTAACCCAGATGCATCCCAAAAAACTCCCAAGGATGAAGGCCACACAAGCCTGTGGACAAACCTCAGGGAAATTTTTTTCCACATAATTTTTAAACTCAGTAAGGTCATGGAAAAAAAAATCCATCTCTCCCTGGTTTTATTTCTGGTTGTCTTTTTTTTTTTTTATTAGGGAAACTGGAAAATCCTTCATAACTCATTTAAGCTCACTCATAAATAATTATTCAAGTTAAAATGCAATTTAGAGGCCTAATGAGAATTACATGCATAAATTCACTGCAGGTAATACCTCACATGTACTTTTCTGGTATTGCCAGGTAGAAAGTTGGCTCTAGTAACCAGTACCAGATACTTGTAAACTAGACAGTTTTCCAAGTAGCAGAGCAACAAGGGTGTGAGCTTTTTAATTTTTAGATAGCTTGTTATCTGGTTTTACTCCTTATAGCTTATACAAATTACAAATACATACATAATTCTAGCTTTTGGAATCCCATTCACCTGCAGTGGAACATACATTCCTGGCTATACAGCAACATGTATTTCTAGAAATGTGGAAGCTTTGAGAGCTCTAGCAAGAGCAAGATATTTCAGTATTTCTACAGTGAAGTAAACCATTTTTCAGAAAACTGAAGGTTTTAGAGAGGTGAAGAGTCAAATTTAACATTAGAACAAAGTAACTTTCAAAGTGCCAGAATAATTTTTTTTTTTTTTTTAGAAACATTTTTCTGGCTAAGTCCACTGTTTATTAAAACATTAAGATGACAAAAACAGCATAGACTTAGGAAGGTTTACTCAAATGCTGGGGAAGAAAGAGCAAGTGAACTGAGAGAGCTCCTTTGATCACACACCCTTGCACACAGTTGCAATTACATCACAGGACATCACTCACAGTTAATCCAACGCCAATGAAGATGCATATCATGCCAATTGTAATATATGCACAGCAGCGCCTCCTTGGCAGTGCACTTCCAACAGATGAACTGTGAGGAAATAAATGATGTTGTAAATTAAACAAAGATACCCCCATCCAACCAAATAACAAACACCACAAAAACAACCCCTGCCATCAATAGTAACTAAATAAGGGAATAGAAAGAGAATGGCAACACACAACCCTGAGATTATCTTGGCTGGTTATAGCATGGTGCTAACAATGCCAAGATTGAGGGTTTGATCCCTGTGTGGGCCATTCACTTCAGAGCTGGACTCCGATGATCCTTGCAGGTCCCTGCCAACTCAGAATATTCAGTGGTTTTGTGACATACACCATCTCAAGTTTATAAAGTTGTAAGGAAATTCTAAATTTTACTACGAAGTACAAGACACATTTGTTTTAAAGGGGAACTATTGGTGATTATCTAATACCTAAAAACCTAGGTGCTTACAAGAAAGAGAATGGTGTCACACCTACAGTTTGAGTGTGTCCCACCTTCTGTGCCCACAGCACACCCAGGTAAGTCCTACCAGATGATAAAGCCTTTGGATTGCAAAACTTAAGTTGGCTTTGCAGCTTCTGTGTAGGTTGCAAGACACCCTTAAGACTCGATTCATCAGCATAAGGCCTTAGTATATTCACTGCATCTAATTGACTGGAAATCACTTTTACTATCCCTAAATGTCATTAATAACAACCTTCATTATCCATTTCCTGGAACAGTTCACTCAGTACTGTTCAGTAGCTAAACTCGGTCCTGTTTCTTGAAGGTAAACACAAATAGTTTTAGTCACAGACGTGTAATTTTTTTCCATGTTCAACATCTCCAAAAACTGAAATGCTTTAGACGTCTTTAAGTCAGTTTTAGTAACTTCAAAAACATGACAAGTTCTTCTTACTTTCCAATTTCTTTTAGAGTTCTACCACAAGTTACATGAGCTGCTCAAATCACTTCTGACAACCGAAGTAAATAAATGCCCTGGAAGTTATGTCACTCATCATCTGGACTATGAACTCCATGACAGACAGTTTTGTCTCTACTTCCTGCATCAAGATATCAGAGTGCTTCAGTCAAACAGGATATAAAATGCAAATAAAACATTACATTATTTACTACAGGTTAGAAAAATTATTTCAGAAGCTTAGCACTGTTTAGCAAATACATCTTGAGTCACAAATCTGCAATGACATGCAGCTATACTAATGAGGAAAACAGGAACATGATTTAATTTCATTGAAACACAAGTAAAAGGACTATAGAGGCAGAGGTTCTTTCATAAAAACATGCACCATCTATATTAGAGGTAGTTTTGAAGCATCCTGAAGTATTGCTATCATTGGTTAAGTTACTTCATCCCATCCTCTGGGAGATCAACACAACTTTGGAAATAATGGAATGCTTGTATTCTGTGTTCAAGGATGCAAGGGAAAATAATTTTCATCTCATGATAGCTCAACATATTTAAGAAAAATGCATAACAGAAGAAAACACTGCTAAACTATTAAAGTAGTACATGCATCATATGACTGACCAAATTTCTGGCTCCAGTTAATTAACCACATAGTAAGGCCTCATATGCTTAGCATGTGACTAAAATTTTTTAAGCATTCATCTTAGAAAGCCTTCAAACAGAGTTTAAGCAGCTTTACTCCAACATTATTTCTTTACAAGGAATTTCTAAAATGATCCAAGAAAAAAAAAAAAAAAGAAAAAACCAAACCAAAAATGCACACCATCACAGTCCTCAAGCTAACACACTGAACTTCATCTTGCAAGGCAAAGAGTTGAAATACAGTGACCACTCAAGTCATTTCCAGAAGAACAGGAAAAGTCCCAAAACAGTTCTGCTCATTAATTTCCATGGGGAAATTATTTTTTGCCAAAAACCTTAAAATACACATGTGGGATGGGATTGGGGGATATGTGTGGTGTCATCAGTATGGGAGAATTCCCAGTTGGGGAAGTAATGGTATCTTACAATCCTCACACACACACCTCTACACACTCCCTCAAAAGCCACCCTACAGCCATTCCAGAAAAAGGATATGTTGTCCAATTGCAAGTTACATGAGGAGAAAAATAATCAAAACCAAAAAGCACTTTTATAAAAGGGGAAAGGAAAGCAAGGAGATGTTTGCCAAACTGACCTTAGATTCCCTCCTTTGCAGGATTTCCTGGCTACGTACTCAGAAAGTTAATTCTATTACAGAGCTGGATTCTGTCAGATAAGCTGGTAGAAATGTCATGTTCAATACACCTAAAACATGCATGATATTCACCATGCTGTGCATCTCACACAGAGGCAAAGTTAATTCTGAGAAAGAGATTTTCAGTTTCAGAGCTGACTTATGATCTTGTTTTTGTAATCATAACACTGCAGGTGCTGTGTGTATTTCCCATCCATATTTCTCTCAAGCTCTGTCTCCTATACAGTAAGAAAGGCTGGGAGAGAAACCATCACCTCAAATACCACAAAAAGGAAGTGTAACAGCTTTTCTCTTTCCATGGAAAGCAAAGATGAAATAAGTATATTAAGTTTCTACAGTCACATAACAGACCTGGGAATATTTAGCAATCCAAATAAACCACAATTCATTTTTCACCTTCCAACAGTGATACTAGCCACTGGCCCACTCTAAATAGTGAAGCTTCCCTCTACCCACTCCAAATTACATATAAAAACCCCAAACTAACTTTGAATAAAGAAAGCCAAAACTCTACCTCAAAACCTACCAACTGCGACAACTTTGACAAGCACATTTGGAAATCTGGGATCAAAAGAACATTTTTACATCACAGAAGCAGCTGATTAGTTCCATTGTGGGACTGTGAGGGAACTCACTACAGACCTCTCCAGAAGGCAGTGGTTCTTTGTCTCTGAGCTGCGCTGAGGAAGCAAAGGCACCTGCCAGACTTTTGGGCAGCAGCAGCAAATATAAAAGACACCAGAGCCAATTTAGCACTGGGTAGTAATTAAAAGAGAGAAAAACCACCACAAGGGACAAAGGCTATAAAAGAAGTAGCACAGGAAAGAATGCTGGGTCTCTTGTGCTCCAAATAATAGGAATTATAGCCAGGATCTCAGACATGCTTTCAGGAGGGTTTTTAAGAGGAAAATCATAATGCCAGTATTTTGAAGGTGAATAGCACTGCTGAAACTAGCCTCCACAGTAGTGACGGGATTCCATCATCTCTCTTTTTCCTAAAAGTCCTGCAGTCTTTATGGAGCAAAGCTGTTATAAATTCATTAGGGTTCATGGTTTTGTCAGACTGTAAAAAGTAAAATAGGTAGGTTCTAACGGAAAAAAGATTTGAAAATCTGAAATAACTTGTAGCATCAATTCTCTTTCTAGTAACTGAATTCATGATCCTGAAGTTTCTAGATGATTTAATATACAGCTTGGGAAACAGAACGGCAGACATTAAAAGAACAGTTCCAGCTTCTTCTCCATCATTAAACAAGAAAAATACCAGAAACCTTCCTTAAATCTCTCACTCTTTTGGGAAACATCTGGTATTTTGCAATACAAAAGAACACTAAATCAGTAAAAAGTAACAGTTTCTCTCCCATTCCTAGGTGTCATTATAAAATAAAGCTGTATCATGACAGTTTCCTCATTAGCTACATTTGTTGTCCCAAAGCAGTGGATAACATGCAACTAAAGGCCTGAGACAGGCTGAACCACTTTGCATCACCAAGGCTTCTGCTAACACCTTACCGATACTGGCATGACAGGTTTACACTCTACTTCCAAAGACATTTGGTCATTTACTAAATAAGTGATTTTATTCTCTGCATCACAATTAATTTCCTGTATTTCCCAAGTTGTTTTGTGACATTTTTTTTTTCTCTCGCAAAATAATAAAGTTGTAACCACAATGACAGCACATAGATGGGACTAAAAACAAATAAGAAGATCCTATTTCCCCCAACATCCAGATATGAAAGATTCCTTTGTTTACATACTCTGAGGCACGATCATTTTATTTTTCCCTGAACATTTTTTCATTATTGACCTTTTCACGTTGTAACTCCTGATCTTCCCTGCAGTTTTAAAAGACATTCTTAATATTAAGATCTAGTTTCCATCAACCAAATAGGAGGTCACAAACAAACTATTTGCTGCACTGCTGAAGAGATTCAGTGCACTTTTAAAAGCATTTGAAACAAAGTTGTGAAAATTATTTGAGAATCTAAAAGTCTCAGTTGATGCCTCCTTGAAAAACTTACTGCAGCAGTCATTCATGGTACCTTGTGCCTTAGTCTACACTATCCTTTTTTCAGTGACAGTCATCCACTGAGTCAACAGAAGGAATGAATAGTTTTGCATCTGACTACTCAGCTACTAATGAAAGAAGCTTTGCATTAATAAGCTGAAATAAAGAACCCCACATTCCCTTCTAACTACTTGGCTACAACGACCTCTGACAAAGACACAAGAGAAAGCAGGTCACTGCAGTTATTTATTCCATCATCATGACTCAAAGCTCTGTCTCACCTATGCTGTGCCCTAAATCCAAGTATTAAAAATGTTTATGCTGCTGAAAGTGCAGAACTCCTGACCATCGCATCTCAAATGCGGGAAAACACCAAGCAACTCATCCAAGGCTAAATTACAATATTCCACAGTTTGCATCCTCAGCCCAAGGGCAGACATGCCCACTTGTTAAAATTAGTTTTGTGCTCTGCAATACAGTTGCCACACAAGCTGTAATTATCACAAATTGCACTGCGGAGAGGCTCCCATTTCCTTACATACAGATAGCGACTTTCCACTTTATCGACAGAGACACTGAGAAAACCTTAGACTCCAGCTGGAATTTAAAGTACAAGCAACATTAATCAACAGAAGACAAACCAAAAGATCACATGGTGGGAGTTTCAGACTGTTGCCTGGAGTGTGGTTTGTTTTGCTGCTGTTATTGCTGGGGTTGGGGTTTTTTGTTTGGTTGTTTTTTGCTGGATGTTTTTGTTTTGCCTTTTTTTTTTTTTTTAAGAATAAACAGCAAATAATTTTGTACCTAAGGAGAGTCAAGAAAAAAGCTGAAGTCAGCTATCAAGAGTGACATGATAAAATATAAAACATAACTGCAATTAGTTTGAAAACAAACCAAACAGCAAAACATCTGCCCCTCCCTCAGGACTAAAGAGACTTAATGCAATTGCAGTCTGTAAAAAATCCCTGAAGCATCTCACCAAGACTGAGTTTATTTGACTTAAGCAAACTAGAACATATCCACTACTACACACATGATCACTTACACCCCTGAGGCTAAACATAGCATTAGACTGACTTCTCTATCAAATACTCCAATAAAAGACTTCAATCACTGTTGAAGGCCAGGTCATGCCCGCACCTACAGTACATTTATGCTAAGCCTTCTGCTTCCTGAGGGACCTGCTAGTTGTCCTACAACATGCAACACAGCTGTGGTTCTCCATTCCCAGTGGAAAACACATTTGCTCCTTTAACTGGAAGTCACACTTGCCTGTCAAAGGAAGACAAATATTTAAATAAATCAGCAGGATGAAAAGTCTCTGAAGAAATATTTAAGTCTTATTTCACATCCCGTGGTTGAGTTGATGTTAGTAGTGTAGTTTTTAGCAACAATTCAAACTAAGTATTCCTGACCTCAAATAATAAAGGCCAAATACTCAAAAAGAGAGCTCCAACCAAAAAACCAAAACAAACTCTTACAGCTCTTGTATCCTACCTTTTCTTGTTCTCATTACAGTCATAACATATGAGTAGACAAGTTATTCCACAGTAATTCATAAACATTTAACATGCATTAGAATGCTTAACACAAGTTAGTTGTTGAATTTATAATATCAGTAAAACCTCTTTCAAATTAAGATTAGTTCCTTTCCTCCCTTTACAATAAGGCAGTTAAAGCTCTAAATTTAAAGATGACATCTGATTACTACTGCATGAAGAGGTAAAATTTCAAGAACATAACTTGTTAATTTTAGCACCCATTCCTGTCTATTGTTAGTAGCTTATTTTTGCCTCTATCAATTCAATCAGACTTTTCATAAATGCAGGTTAGATTTGTCAAAGTTACTGATTTGTGCGTAAAGAGTGGAGAATTCATGTGCACACAACACGCACTTTAGCCTTGAAGTTCAGATGACCATGGCAAAATAATCAGCACAGCTGACATATTTTACTCCAAAGACTTTTACAGAAGAAACACTGGCAACTTCACAGTAATTCACATAACCTTGTTTCCAGAGAACTTACATTTTTTTGCAGTGTGGGCATTTTGCTAGTGTGTTAAACCTCAGTTCCATCCACTGTAAAAAGAACAAAAGAAAAAGGTTGAAAAACTGACCTGAAAAAATGTTTATTGCATTTCATCCTAAATGTCACTATGAAAACATTTTGCTTCTCAGACTTCCTTTGACTTGTTTCTTGCTTTCTTCCATAAATGGGATGCCCTTTTGTCAGTGGCAACATAGGATTGGGATTTCCATGGGAACATTTCCCATGACTTGCCTTAGTATTACAAAATTCACTTGACGTAATGTGGTTGCATCCACAGGCATAGTACGGGCAACATTATAATATTGGTTTTTTTCTCTTACTTAACAGCTATGAATATACCCTGAATCAAAATAAGTGTGTTTTCTTTGGCACAATTACAAATGGGAGCATTTTCTCATCTTTCCCCAATCCTTGCATCATTTGTGAAAACTAAGTTATGGGTGCACAGAAAGATTAGATAAAGAATATTTTAGAAAGCAGACATCTAAGTTTTATATCATTAAAGCAGAGAACACTGTTGGCTTACATGACTTTTGAAAAGATGATATATAAAACTGTACATGGTATGGTCATAACCTTCCATGCACAGACAAAAACCTACGTGGGAAACAGCCTTAGCGAAAGCAGTGCCTAGAACTACCTCAACCAGGGAATACATAGTGATATACTCATTTAAAAACAGCATGTTCTGTTAAATTCCATTCTGTGATAACAGAAGTATTAAACAAGCATTTTAAACACGTTTGCCTTGATCAAGGGGATAAGGTTATTTTTCTTCACCCTTTAAGAAGTTACATTATAATTGCAGCTCTCTTCTGTTGCCTTTCTCAAGTGGAGGTTAGTTTGCAGCTTTCCTGGTGAAATGTAGTTCTCCTCTCCCCTTCCTTCTGGATTTTAGCAAAAGTCACACTGCAAATTATTAGAAGGGGAAGAAGCCACAGCACAGATCACCAGTGTCTCGCCTCCATTGGGATCTGCCTTATCTCTATGAGAAATCTGGAGTTGGCCTACTGAAGTGAATAGCATTATAACTGCTAGAACCACAAATCAAAATCAAAGCCCACCCTTGTATGGAAAACAGGACCAGCCTACAGCACAGCACCATTTAAACTAAGAAAATATTTATGATTTTATGTGTAAAGAAAGAGGATGTGTCTTTGCCAGTATCAGCCAATTTTGCTGTAAAGTTTCAATCTGTAGTATTTAAATATAATAGTATTTAGAGTGCATTTTTCTGCCTCTTGAAGGTCTCCCTCAGTTTTATTTACTTCTCAATTTTATTTGCTTGGGGGAAAAAGAAATCCTTTTTTTTTTTCCTAGTCCTGAAGTACCCAATTACACATTTAAAGAACAACTATGTAACTGGTATTATTTGTTTACAAGGCTTGGCCAAACTGATTTAGCATAGTTCTGTTTTATCCCTTAAGACTTCTGTAATACTCCCCACCCGAGCAAAGCTTTTTAGGAGTATTAACTCTATTTCCACATTCCTGGCAGAGGAGCAAGTTAGGTTATTTGCCTGCATCCCTGTCAAAAGCCTACTCAATTTCTTATAGTTCTATACATAGTGAAAGTGAAATTGGATGCAGTTGTCAGTGCTGGGAATGGAGACAGGCCTCATCAGAGGGGTTACTTCAGCTTTTGAAACTACAAATCCAGAAACAGAAAACAGAAATAGGTAAAATATAAGTTCTTGATATAGACTGCTTCACTTTCACTTTTGTACATTAGCTTTATCACAGTGTAGACTAGTCCATTTCCAAAGTTACTCGTTAATGGTCTTTCTAGAATTTTTTTAAGATTCTAATTATTAGCCCTAATTATTAATAACTCAAATGCATGAGCTGGGCTTCAAGTATAGATGGAAAAGAGAGGCAGCAATAATCTGTTTTCACAGAGTGTTACCTGGAAGTAACAGAAGCACTAACTGTTATGATGCTTTCTGCACATACCAAAAATATTTGCAGAGAAAAAAGACCAAAAATATGACAAGACATTCAAACTACAAGAATTCAGATCACATCAGCAGTGGGAAAGGTCATGTTGATGTATATTCTAAGTCATGGAACTTTGGTGGGTTTAACAAGTAGTTAAAATCATGCTTAAGCTGGTATTTTTTACGCATATTGCAATGCTTTACAGTACCTAATATTGATTCATGTTATGACAAATTTCATGTTACTGTGACTTGAAGTTATCTCTCTGCTGAGAATACAAACTGCATTTTTCTAAATGAAACAGTAGAATAAGTGATAAGCCAAATCCCTGTTTAGATGTACTGAAACACAAATGAGGAAATAAGGATTCCAGTGCTCTTCATTTCAGCTATGGACAAAACCAGACATCCATCAAAGGTATTACCAGAAGAACATGTCAAACTTTTTTTCCTTCTGAGCCTCAGTGCATTTAATGTAAGAGGAAAAAAAAAAGAAAAAGAGAAAGAAAAACCCTATGCACACACACAGAGTCCTACATACAGCTGCTTCTGCAAAAGAAGCTTCCCCTCCACTCCCCTCAGGTCCTTTGAGAGAGCAAAATACTTGTGCAGGTTAAAACTCATCTAAGTTTCCTGAAAAGTTTAAAGGGATTTCTATGCAATTATTTCAGAAGAAATAATTTTCATATTTGAATAGTTAAAAAAAAAAACTAAATTGACAAAGCACAGTGCTTAGCCTACAGCCTGTGGCTTCCATAGCTTGCTCCTGACTTCTTGTCCTTAAGGTCTCTGCAAGCAGGACAGTGGCAGGAAGATGGCAGAGAGAGGGACAACACAGGGACAGCCCTCCCTTGCCCACCACCATTTCCAAAGGCAACTCAGTCACTGACAGCCACAAACTATCACAGGCAGAGGTCTCTCAGGAGGTGAGGGGGGTTGCAGGGAATAACTTACTGCTGGCAGAAACAGTAAGTGTCACAGCCCAACTCCAGAAGCACTCAAAAAAGCCCAAACCAGATCAAATTGTGATTTAGCAACAGTTAAACCCATGACCTGCCCTCCTTTTCTATTCTACCCCATTTCCCACTTGTCTGAACTCCAAATCTGCCAGAAACAGTGGAAATCTTAACATAGAAAAAACCTGCATCAGGTTACAAAGGGAAGAAAAGATCTCATTAACAAAATGTGAATAACTATTGATAGTTTAGCTATCAGTACTTTAGTACTAAGCCTGACAGCTAAGACAGAGAAACTTTAAGGCACTCCATAGTATGGAGAGTGCTTTTCATAATTTGTAAAAAGACCCCCCACATGTATAGGGGCAGGGAAAGCACAGCTCATTCTGATGTTTTCATATAAAAAAAAAAAAAAAATTGGAAAGTGGTCAACAAGTTGATACACTTAAAAGAATACAGAACATTCAAATGACAATTTGACTTTCCCACCCCAGGGATTCTAGCTTTGCTTGTCTATTTTAATAATTTTTTAACTGCCAAGTAAAAGGGATAACCTACTGAGTTGCTGAGAGATGCATCTAGCATTACGTATCTTCTTTACAGTGTGGAAATAGCAAAAGCCAGAAATACCTACACAGAAGTTTCCAGGTTGGCTAAATTTTTTTGTTGTTGTTTCTCTGCTCACTCTGAAATCCAAGCAATTTCTAGACTTCTTTTAACTAAGAATTTTATTTGGAGAATCTCAGACTTAATTACAGAAAACAAGAGAAGCAAAAGTCTAATAGAAAAGCTGTGTGAAGTGAGAAAAAAATGGGTTTGTTTCTTGATAACTCAGCAAAAAAGAATACCAAACTTCCTATTTCTAATGATTTGGAAATTTTCAATGTACCACAAAGCAACAAATTGGTCTTACTGGCAGATAGAGCTATGAAGTTCAAAATGTTGCAGTTCCCCAAAGCAATCATTATATCTGAAGTCACATGCACAAATCCCAAAATAGAAAACTTTGTCTGTTAAGGCATAATCTAGTAGTTACAGGGAAAAAAAAAAGTAGTTACAGCCTTTATGGGTTTAGGTTTTTCCCCTTATTTTCACCTGAAGTAGTTCACTGTGTAAAGTACAAAGGTAATTTAGGCTGTACTTATAAAAAGCAAATAGGGAATCAAGTCAAGTAAAAATCCCATGTTTATGAAAGTCCCCAAAGATAGGCAAAAAAAAAAAAAACCAAAAAAAAAAGGCAAGCAGAAAATCCACTTCAGCTACCTTCAGTTGCTGACTTCTGCTCTTCAGCAAGGGCTCTAAGAGAAATATATAGTTTTCAATATATAGGCAGAATTAGCAGACAGAAAATTTCTCACACATCTCTCTAATGGCTTTTCAGTTAGCACATTACTGTAAATTTATAATCAAATTTCAAATGTCTAATACCTGAAAAAAATAAAAGCAGAGAAGTGTAAGGGCCATTTCCTGCTTCCTGCATGCATCACCTGATGATGGCCAGTCTCTTCGCGAACGAAGAACCGGGGAAGGTCTTTACACCTTCCAGCCTGCGCATTGGATTTTTTAGGTGAGACACAGTGTGCGCGGAACTGAGCCCACCCTTTAATCCTGAGGTTCATCTGCTGGGGCCAAGCGAGCTTGGACGGTGGCAGCGAGGTCCTCAGGACGTAGATGGATTGCCTTACAGGGCTAGCGAGCTCCATCTGCCCGGAGAGTGTCCTAACCTGGATTCGAACCCAGATCTCAGCATTGACTACGCTGTGGTTTAGCCACTGCACCACCTACTATAGCAGTCAAGCCACTACAGCACACCTGTCCTGGTTTCAGTTGGGATTATCAATTTTCTTCTTAGTAGCTGGTACAGTGCTGTGCTTTAGATTCAGTAACAACGTTGGTAACAAACTAATGTTTCAGTTGCCGCTAAGTAGCATTTACTCTAAGTGAAGGACTTCTCAGTTTCTCATGTTCTGCCCGTAAACCAGGTGCACAAGGAACTGGAGAGACCACAGCCAGGACAGCTGAGCTGAACTGGCCAAAGGGATATTCCATACCACAGAATATCATGTTTGATATATAAACTCGGGGGGAGTTGGCTGAGAGACACTGATCACTGCTGAGAGACTGGCTGGGCATCGGTCAGCGTGTGGTGAGCAACTATATTGAGCATCACTTGTTTCTCTTGGGTTTTACTCCTCTCTCCCTCTCTTTTCATTACTATTATTATTGTTATTGTCATTATTAGTAGTATTGGGTTTTTTTGTTTTAATCATTGAATTGTTTTTACCTGAACCCAAGAGTTTTGCCTTTTGTCCAATTCTCCTCCCCACCCAGGCAGGGGGTCTGGGTGGTGGTTGCAGGGATGGCCCAGGGTTAAGCCACTAAAGCACCTCACTGATCCATATACCTGAAGTAAAGACTTGAAGGCAGAAATCTACTCCATTACAGAGCCCAACACAAACCCTTCTCTCCCTGGTACAAGCCAACATGGAGTGCCATTCCCTAAGCCTCCTTTTTCCTCAAGTATTCTCTGGTCTTTATGTATCTTACAATCCTTTGTTTCAGGAATGTAAAACCACTGTCAGGACTGTGTGGTTCCTTCAGCTGTACCACTTATCTTAGCCATTTCCCATAATTCACAAACCTGACAGAGATTCAAGCACTGCTGAAGCTAAAGCTAACAAGTATGGCAGCCTCTTATCCATTTAGAAGGCTGCAAACAGTTCAACAACAAAAAAGTATTCTTGCATCCTTCCACTTAAAAAATGGGATAAACTGTCAGCCTCACATATAACCCAAAATCTCCAGTCTGTAAAAACTGACAGATATGCCAGTGGGCAAGTGCCGTAAAGAGCCTTCAGCAATTTCAGCAATAAACAGCAATGACAGAACCACTCTCTTAGCCACTGCAGAACACAGCCACCACTGCAAGATAAACAAAACCTGGAAGCATAACTTCCTTTTCCAGCACTGTCCACGCTCACATCACTAAGCACTAAGACAGACTTTAAGCTTTATCCATCCACACACAGAAAGACTGTTAAGAGTTTTCTAGAAATGCTTGTAAAGATAACCAAATACAGACCAAACATCCATAGCAATATGAAGACAGTTCCTCACTGATGCCAGAGAGTGAGGCAATACACTCCTTAAAAGTGCTTACAACAAATAACTTGAGGGATAGCCCAGTGAGGTGAGAAGGAGAATCTGGTGCTTTACTTACAAGGAACGTATTTCCACAATGCCCACACACCACTCTAGTTCCATCTGGTTGAACTGGCAAGGCAGGCTGAGCTGGCTGCTCTTCTGGAATCAGCATTACTGGACCGAGAGTAATGATGCGTCTGCTGTGTTAAGAACATTAGATACACATATTAATTAAACTTGTAAAAGAGAAGGACGATGCATTTAAGCAATTAGCAATTTAAGCAACTTGCTACCAAATATTTTTACACTTTTTAACAACAATTTGCTTGTTAAAAACAGTTGATGCTTCCGGTTTGGGTCTCACTCCAAAGTGTTTTCCTTTTCAGTTTTGAAAACATTCTCTTTCACTCCAAGATCAGCCACACAAGCCTGAACCCTGTAAAGATTGAAGACTTGCCAGCATATGGCAGAAACACTCATCAGAAGAATGAAATCTTTATATTCAACCTGATCAAGCCCATGAATTGCAATGTAGATACATATGTGAAACATGTAGAAAGAGTATGGACTCTTCCATAAACTAGTTCTCCTTCCCACACTACTGACAATCACATCAATATAAGCAGCATCTCCACATTCATACAGTAAAAATTCAACTCAAATTGAGTAAACTAAGAAAACTACTCCAGGTTGACTAAATGCAACCAGTTTACTTTAAAAAACAGTTTGTAAGTATTTGCTTTTATATTTAAAGTGTTTCAAGTTTAATTATAAAATTTGTCAGTCCAAAATGACAGTAACCAAATTAACCAACTCAAAACAGACTGAGGATGAGACTTCTTAGCATGAAAAAGCGAAGGGGAAAACTAAAGCATTATTTAATTTGCCCTGCCCCTCTCCATATACAACCAAAATTGTATTCTGGATGGCCTCCCTTCAATCTAGAGTCTTACTCCCAACTCACTCTCTCAAAGTACACCAATTTTGCTCACTTTCTAGCAAGATAAATACATAGACTATCTTAGGGAAACTGCCGAGATATATGCTTTTGAAATTATTTTAATAAAATTACAGAGTTTCTGATTCAGTTTAGTTACCAACCATGTGATATATTATAACTGAAGTATCCCATGAAAGTTCTTGCACTCTGAGAAAGTGTTTGGAATGTTTTGAACTCCTCCCCAACACGGCATTAGCAAAAAAAAAAAATTCCCACAAGTCTCAAACTGTTTCAAAACCACAACAGCCAATACACTGGTGGCTATGGCACTTGATGTGGTAGAGTTTCTGTTCATGTGTCTGCAGACTTAGCCTTCATCTCCATTTCTCCTGTTAGAGCTGCACCACTTATAATTAAACTACTCCTACCTTGGTGGGATCTTTAACACCAAAAGTCGAGAACTGAGAGGAAAATGAAAACTCAGCATAAACAGGAGGGAGAACAGGACTGAAGCCAACTTACTGCTTCCTCTCCCATTTCATTCTAGAGTCCCTGCTCTGAACTAAGCGAAGGGAGCATCCTGTGTGTTTACAATAATTAAATCTGCAAAAAATTGTGAATGTTAAGTCCCAGAAACACAAGTGGATTTTCTTCTTTGTTGTTCTTTACATAATTTTTTTTCTTATGAAGTAGATAAAAAGGGACACACACATCTGAGACTAATCCTAAATAGAAGAACATGAAACTTTTTTCCTCTTTAATCTTAAAAAAAAAAATATTCAAAATTGACACCAGCACTATCTTTGTCTGTAGTAATTCAGTACTGCTCTGTTAAGTGTCCACATACAGAGGTCCAGGCTTGAACCTCTTTTAATTATAAAAACTTAACACAAAGAGAGGTGTTGCTTTAAAGAAAACTATCACAATGCACTTAGAGCATTTTATTCTTACCAGTTTGGTCTTGGACAGCCTATTTTCCGAGACGTATCCTTACAGATAAGGAGACAGTTACATTGACATCTAACATACTTCTTCCCTGGAGGAGGGTTTTTGATTGGCTAAACAAAAAAAAAAGACCAACACAACCACCAGAGAACACACATCAGAAGTCATCGCAATTCACTTTTTTCCACATAACAGTATGACAAAGCAGAACAACTTCAGTGACAAGTTCTTGCTAACAGAGAAATACAGTTCCTCTTACAGAGGAAACTTCACAGTCAAGACAAAATTAGAAGTTTTTTCTCTCTTCCCAGAAAAAGAAGTAAAAATTTCCTCAATAGAAAAAATACGAGATTCTGCAAACTCAGGGGAAAAAAAGAAAATTCATATTTTAGCAATGAAAATTTCAAGGTTTCAGTTCAGTTTCATTTTTTTTAAATGTGAGCTTAAGGAGTGGTATATTTAAAAAAAAAAAAAACAGTCAAAACTTCAAACAAGTCTCCTTGCTTGGTACAATGGTTTCATTCAACAGTGAAAGGATCACAGTCTGGTTCTCAGTCACTAAGGGGCCATGTAGACACCACTGTACTCTAATCTTACTTTAAACTGTACTGAAATTATCCTTCTCCAACCTGGGAGTCCAGTTTCAGTGTTCCTTTCATACAGCAATTCAAAAGCTGCAAGATATTTTGGTTTGAAACATTATATATCTGCAGGGAAAGTGAATTTCAATGGTAGGTTCTCTACTCTCTCTTTCAAGTGGGGGGAAAAAAAAGTTTTCCCGCAGTTTTAAGGCTTCCTGCCTTCCGGACATAATTTAAAGTCCTTTTCATATAATAAATCCAATCCTGTGTTTTTCATACAAGTGCTTCCAATAGCTGTGGAACGCTGCAGTATCAGATCCTGAAACTAAAACTGGCAGGAAAAAGAAAATAGAAGCAGGAGCTAAATAGTGAAGACTTGAATTAAGAAAAGAGAAGGAGAAACAAAAAGGTCTGTGATCACTGGAAAAGAACCTACAACTTATGCATTTCAAAGTTGCTGTATTGTAGTCTACTGGCAAGCTAAACAACTAACTGAATAGTACTGCAGGAGGAAGGCATACATCCAGGGAAAGGTATGGGGTAGTTACTTTGCTCGTCTGCCACTTTTCTCTTTGTCCCATCAAAACCAATTTCATCCTTCTATACAGAAGGGTAATTACTTAAATGACATCTTTGCTTTCTGTCCTCCTCAGGAGACATCCTGAACAGCCAGTTCAATGAAGATTTATTGTGCCAGCAACCCTTGCTGGAGCTTCCACGCCAGCTACACCAGCAGTCAGCTGGGCTGACAGGTTCTTAGCGGGGATGGCAGGAAGGGACTCACCTTTTGTAGGTGAGGACATGAATTCCACCAGCCACATACTTCAGCCTCCCCCCGCTTCCCTCCACAAAAAAGAAAATGCTAAAAATCCATTTTACCGTAGCTTCATTGCAAACTGTGCACTTAACCACATGTTGGTGTAGCTTGCCATCCAAATTGATTAGCGACTGGCACACGCGGCAGTTTATTACAGGAACACCGCTGGCATCTGGACTTGCAATGGCAGTGTATGGAGGAGGAAGCTCTGCTGCAAGAGATAAGGAAATCTCAGCTGAAACACTAGAGGATCCTAAAATACTTTCGGCAAATGTTGTCCCTACGTCACAGTCTCAAAAAAAGAAAAAAAAATATTAAAACCCCCCCAAACAACTCAAAGTTAATGGTTAGCATAAACAAAAGACAAACCTAAGTTTGCATTCCCCTTCTCCATAGCTTCTGTGTCCACAAACATCAGCCATAGCTGTAAGCAAAGCAAACCAGCAGCACAAACAGCAATACGCTAAATCACCCCAGAAATGAGGATCCAACAAAACGCTCATCTATGCAACTTTATTTTCTTACCAACTTTTCTGACCCCTGTAATTTCTGAAGACTGTGAAAAAAATAACCCCAGACCTACTACAGATTAGTAGCAATTAGGGACTGGCTTTTGAAGAAAAAAAAAACAGAACACCCAGAAAATAAAACAAGACACAGGTAGGCAAAGGAGTCATAAACAGCCTTTACAAACATCTGAAAAGACTGAAACATAGACAAGTGTTTAACATATAGTAATCAATACTAAAACACAGGTAAAAACACAGAACAGTCCTGTAAAGAAAACAGATCTTGAACGGGAAGTGGCATGAAGTGCTGCTTTTTTGAGTGCAACAACAGCACTATTTTGGAAAACAAAACAAAAAACAAAAAACAAAAAAAAAAAAAAAAAAAAAAAAAAAAAAAAAAAAAAAAAAAAAAAAAAAAAAAAAAAAAAAGATGAAGTCAGAGTTTCTGCTTTTAAGGGTTCCACATATTTTTCTTATCCAAGAGCCAATGTATGGATGCACAAGGTGGTCTTTAGTCAGTTAGGACAGGCTAACACAGGGAAAGGTATAGTGGCCTTAGGCCTCTGTGGAAGAGCAAACTTCAACTTTGCCAGTCTTGAGGCCACAATGCAACAGGGAGGAAACACTAAAGACCCTTTGAAGTTTGAGAATCTATGGAATGAAAATAATTCAACACAGCAATCTCTCACAAGCTTATTATGACAATTATTTGGCATGTAAAAGCACCAACTTTTATTTCAAGTTCAGGGCTCTTCAGGCAAGCAAACAGAGAATTGGCATATTCAACAGTTCACAGTTAGCTTTTTTTAATACTAGTAGTTTGAAATACCTGCAGCCTTGGACTTCAGTAAGCTTTTTAAAAATTACATCCAAGTAGCTAATGAATTCTTCAGAGCAGCAATGAGAGATGAGCCTACTTTCAGTTTACCAACAGGACTGAACAGAACAGTATCTGCTGGAGGGTGGCGAGGGAAATCACAGGCTGCTATCAAAGCTGACAAGCCCAAGTATTAAATTTAAGCATGTAAGAAAGCACTCATCACTCCTTCACCCTGTCTTAAAGTGAACGTCAAAAGCTGGAGGGATATAAAAAACCCTGCCTGCCCTTCAAATCCAAAAGTCATCCCACACCTCTGAAGCAGCATTGCTGTTCAGTGTTCTCTCTCTCTCTCTTTGCTACTTGGTCTACAAATGACCCAGACCTGTGTTTGATTTTAACTCACAGAGGCAGCAAGAGAACAGTGGATACCTTCAAAAGAATCATATCCAACATACTTGAATTATTTCAGATGAGAAAAAAATTAACTTATATGCAGCAATACATTTCTGAAGTCATGACACACATTTATTCTCCCTTATTTGAGCAAGTGAACTTCACACCTCCAACTTTGACATACCAGTTAGAGAAGCCAACATCATTATGAGATATCAGGTAACAATGCTGTGACTTCTTCTGTTTCTGAGGAATTATGTTCTGAAAAAATGCAGCATTTAGAAGAAAAAAAAAAACACAAAACAAAAAAAAACACACACACACAAAAAAAATCCTACAATATTTGGCAGTACTATGATATCCTATTTTAAGTAAGACTGCCACATGTAGGACAGGAGATATTACAAGATATTAACAAACCAAACAAACACACACAAGAAAAAACCCCAATCCACACACACTTTGGCAAATAGAAACAACCTCAAGTCTACTAGATTACTGCAGAAACCAGGTTAGAGCTTTGGACGATAGGAACAGCAGTGTCTTAGCCACGAGTGATAAAGTCAAGGCTGCTGCAAGGGGGTTTGGCAGTCAGCAGGCTGCTTAACTGCTCCTGCAGCGAGCAGCTGACACTTTCTGGCTTGGGAAAAAGGTAGCAATAGAACAACAGACACATTCAGCAGACCACATATCAAACTCTGTTAAGACACCCCTACAGTTCACTCCCAGCTTTAAGGGTGCTTTTCTGAAAAGCAACAATTGTGTTTCAGAACTTTTTCACTTTGTCCTCTCCATTTAAAGTGCAACTTCTTCACTCTGTCAGCTAGGAACAGGGCAGCAGTACTGAGGAAAGGTAAACAATATCTTGAAGGGTATCAGAGCGTAAAAACAGACACACAGTCCCCAGTCTTTCAGCTTTCCATGATCCTGGAATACTTTAGAAATTGGTAACTACACCCTTCTAGACATATATAATTTTCTATACCCTATTTCTAAGTGACAATTCTTAGGAGTTTGAAAGCTGGTTAACTGAGGTACATGAGCTCCTACAGACATTGCCAGCCACCTCTCCAGCCTCATACCGGAGCTGCTTGGCTTCCAGGTAAGCAGCCTCGCTGTTCCTGTCCTGCTGGCTCAGCAAATATCAGATAGCAAGCAAATAATGGCTGCTTTTCAGAGTGGTGCTGCAGCAAATGACATTTGCTATGGAGCAGAAAGCCGGAGGTATCTTGGCACTGCAACCCTCATGCTTAAAGAAAACGTGCATTTGGAAGAGCTCCAAAAAACTAAACCAGCGAAAGCCACCAGAATTAAGTTTAAAGAAAAGTATATTGGAGAGGGTGAGGGGGTAGGGGTGGTGAAAAGGAAAATAAAGGCATTTTCTCAGAGTTTGCTGCTTATTACTCCTTAATAAAAAAGTTTCAAAGCACATTAAGATACTTTGGTATGACCTTTTTTTTTTTTTTTTGACAGCTTGAATTTCAGGCTAACTATAATACCTAAAATCAGTTCATAAAGGTCTGTCACGCTGGACATGACTGGATTATAGGCAAGGTTCACATACACACCAGGAGACATTTAATGAGACACTGAATTTCCTGCTGCTGACATACCAATTTGCAGCTATATTATCATTTTTCTTTTAAAAAAATAAAGAAAATTAAACAATAATTAGTTCAGCAAGATTAGCAAAATGCCCTACAATGCAGTACATCTGAGTCCCTTCTCACCCCCACAGTAGAGCAATGCAATGGAAGATATCCCATATTCAACCTGAGAAATTCCTTGTGGTGTTCGTGCACTTTCCTCCCTTGGTATTTGAAGGGTGGAAACCACAGAAAACCACTTGCAAAACAAACAAATGGGTTTGTTTTGTTTCTTTGATTTAGAAAAAAAAAATAATTCTTTATTATGACTTAGGAGGGTGTGGGTGAGGGAAAAAATTAAGTGATCTATGTCAGATAGGTAGTTAAGAACTAAGAAAGCCTGAGGGAAGGGGGGCTAAAAAAAACCAAAGCAAAACAAAAAAAAAAGGCATTGAATAACCACCTTAGTACAGAGAGCAGAGCTGACAGTTCCACCCTTTGTCTATGTGAAAAGTTTTTCAAATACTCTGGCCTGCATCCACACTAAAAAGATTTTTCTTGCTTGCTTCCATCATAAGGAACAAACACTGAGCCATTACCAGAATTCAACCAGCTTGCATTGAAAAGGGTCAGCTAGGTCCCAGCTGCAGTCCAACAACCATGGCCTCTCAAAGCTCAGGATGACATACTGGGCACAGTAGTTAATTACAGGGATAAGTCTATTAATGTACATTCAGGTGGTAGTTTTAAGGGCGAAGAGCTTCTTCCTCCTTCCTGTGCCACACCACACCAGTCAGGTGATGTTAAAGATGGACGCTCTTGCAGTAGGAGGTTTGGAAGCAAACCCCAACTTTCCACAAGAATGCTTCTTCTCTCTACATCTAGACTTGTGCTAGAGAGAGAAAGGCTGCCTGTTAGCTACAAAGGTGGTTTAGTTTGCCTATATCCTTTCACTAAGGAAAACGGAGCAAGGAAAGTGGAGCTACTGGGTCTATATCACAATTCTGTAAGATTTTGTTCTGCAGTTATCTTTTTGTAAGTGCTGTAGAGCAGTTTTGAAGTGCTACCTAGTATGCTTGTCCGTGGACTGACTGAACAAAGAGGTCTTTGATGTTTAAGAAAGTTCTAGGGTTGGTTCCTCCTCACTTCTGGGAACAAGCCACTTATCTTAAACACCACACCCCACCACAGGTGCCCAGCCAGTTACCACGAATTACAGATGCCCACTGAAGGCTCACCAGGACACAGCTACCAACTGAAATGAGAATCTGGGGTCCAGTTCCTTAGCAGGTCATGAGTTTTTCCCTGGGTTCAGGTGAGAGTCACTGACCTAATGCATTTTCATTACTTTTCAAATCTATAAAGACTTGTAAAAAAAACCCAACAGATCAAAATGTATACAAAAGTAATTGTTACAGGATAAAGGCTACTAAGAATAAAACCATCAAACACCAGAATTTAAATTCAGTTGGATTTCTGAATTTTTTTTTTTTTTAACTTAGAAGATGATGCCAATTCTACACAAATTGATTAGGGAAAAAACAAACAAAACAAAAACCCCAACCTCTACTGACTTTCAGGCCAATATTCCTTTGTCCAAATACATTTTCATATTAAGACAAAGAGGCCTAGCTTTCCATAAGTTTAAATATTATTCTAAAGAGATAGATGCTCACTCACTCTAGTTACATACATGTCATAAATATATACAATTACATAGAAATCCCCAAGACTAACACACTGGAGCTACTGAGATAAGGATTGTAATCTTACATTTTAAAGGCTACTGCTAGCAAAGCTATTCTAATCTTATTGATTCTTTGTTCCTTCAGCTTTCTCCAACACCTCACTTTCTGCTCTAAAACATTTAACTGAAAAAAAAACCTAAACCAAAAAAATCTACTAATGTACTTTGTAAACATCCTGATTTATATTTGCTTAGTAAAATCTTTTCACCTACTTATTAAATATTCAGTATTGATCAACAAGATGATTTTCTTAAGTCTGTGCAAGAAAGATAATACCATATAATTATGCCACGATTACAAATTTGGAACCACAGTACCTGACTTGCTTTAAAAATAAAGCCAAAGCCAGCTACGGCCTTGAAACGCGTTTGCAAGGACATCCTAGTGGTTTTGGACTTCAACTACCACATTGCACTGAGCCCCTTCGCTATTTCAGTCCGCCTGCCGGCAGAAGGGCCGACGGCAGCTGGGCACCTCTGGGCTGTGGCACTGCGATGGCAGGCACAGCCCTGACACCGCCGACAGCCCCTGCGCTGCTCCCCAGCTCAGCTCGGCACCTTCCACCTAATCCTGTTCCTAATTAAGGGGGGAAACCCAAGTCCAACAATCACTCTGCAAGCTGCGACATGCGAAGAGAGTTATAATAAGCAGACCGGTTCGGGCTTGTTCTGCCCCTGCAAACAATTATTTTAATGTCTCTTATTTTTCCTGCTGAGGCGCCGAGGCCGGGGAGCACGGCGGGGAGCAGGGCCTACAGCCGGCCCTGCGCGGCGTTACCTGTTGTTCCCACCCGCGGCCCCCCAGCCGGGGCAGGGCGGGGGCTCCCCCGGCCCGGCCCCGCCGCCCCTCGCCGGCCAAGGCGGGGGAGCCCCCGCACCGCCGCACCCGCGCCGCCAGCGACAGGGCCAGGGCCAGCCCCGCCGCCCCCAGGGCCCTGCCGCCCCCCGCCCGGCACAGCCTTACCTCGGGGGCTGCTGTCCGGCAGGTAGGGCGGCGCGGTCGGGGTGACATTGCCGGAGCCGGGCGCGGAGAGCAGCGGGGAGCGCTCGTCCACCCCCTCGGCGGCCATGGCTGCGGCGCGGAGGGCCCTGCCCGCGGCCGGGCGCTCGGCGTGGGGCGGGGAGGCGGCCGGACCGACGGCGCCAGGGAAGGAGAAGGAACGCAGAGGAAGGGGCTGGGAATGAATGGGAGCGGGGCGGGGAGGAGGGACTGCGGGGCGGGAGCTGGGCCGGCCGCCCCCCGGCACGGGCTAATGAGCGGGGCGGGCCGGGGGCGGCGCCTGCAGGAGGAACGTAGCAACCTTCTTCTGT